TACTATATTATGGAAAACTCGAGGAAACAGAAGCTAGAAAATAGGAGAAAACTAATTATAACCACTCACTAGATTGAAAAATCTTAGGAGTAATATCAGATGATCTCACTTTTAAAGATCACAAGTCACCATCACAACGTGATGAAAATGATAGGATGGATAATGAGAACCTTCAAAACAAGGGATGCCATGCCAATGATGATACTCTAAGTTACTTCTAAGTTGCAATACTGCTGTACACTAACTGCCCCTTTTAAGGCAGGCGATATTGCTGATCTAGAGCAAGTAGAGAGAACCTTCACTGCATATTTAGGATCGGTCATGCATATTAATTACCAGGAACACAGGCAAGAATTTACATCTGGAAAATCCTAGTGGGACTGGTCCAAATCTGCATGCACATATCCCTTCTTATGTAAGAAGGCTAAACAGACATTGCAATATACCCCGCAATGAATTAGTCCCAAATCTGCACAGGCCCAAATCACTCCCAAAGAAAACAAAAGACATGGCAGATGGTGCAATATACCCCAATGAAAAGCTAGGGTGCCATGAGTACACAAGAGACAACATAATATGTGTAAAGAGTCGAGACTATTTCAACAGCCATCATACAAAAGGGGATTACCAACAAACTGCTAACTGCCTTCAAGAGGGAACTAGATAGGTTCCTCAGTAAGTCAGTTCAAGATCAGACGAGGTGTGGTTCGTACGCCAGCAGTAACAACCTGATAGTATATTATTTATTTTACCCTCCCATTGAGGCTCTCTCCAGGAAATTAAATGTAAACCATTTAGAATTTAAACTGTCAGGTCACATGGCCACCATATGTAATTAAACATGTAAAGCTACAAGCCTTTCAAGAACTTTAACACTCATTTAGGACATTATGGACACCTTATGTCTGGCATATCTTGAGTATGACACACCACCGTGGAACTTTATAAAAAAGAAGTTTATAGTTTGCTAGGGCAATCTTGTTAAAGGAAAAAAAATTATGGGGGGTGGGGGGAGTAAAAGGTGCAAAAATGACAAACATTTTACAGCAACAAGAAAAAAAATCAGAATTTTATGGTGATATCTAGCCCCATGGAAGATACGTAAAAAAATATTGTGACAACTTTGTTACATCGCGAAAAATTAACTTTTCCGTCCAATATACATTTTCCCGTCTCTGATAACTTTAAAAAGGTATGCGCTCATGAATATTTTGACAACCCCATTTGCACTTAAATTATTCTTCAGTTGAAGTTTAAAGACCCGGGGGCTGCGACCGCGGGAGAAACTTAATTAAAAAATAAAGAGAATCTGAGAAGAAAAGAATCCAGACTATGCACTGCAAGACAAGCCGAGTGTAAACCATGTAGACTCCTAAAACAAGGTGGTGTACTGTGTATAGAATTATATCCCTCTCGACGGCCAACACCAGCCGACTCTCTTATTATTCACAAATGCACCTCCCTCCAGCAAAATTTAAGGTTCAATTTTGAGTTATTACATTTAGAGCATTGGAAGCTTTAGGTTATTCTATACTTTTAACAAAGTTGCAATCATTATGAATTCGCTGCTATAATTATAAATGTATAAATTTCAGCCAATTCAATTTCATGTTATTAAATCAATTACCTACTAACGGGGTTAATTTACTACCACATTGCAGATATCAGTCACAATAGTCAAAATAATTAATATCACATGATAATCAAAACAATGCAAGTCCATTTGCCTCAGTCCAAGCCATATTCACGAACCACACATCACAGGCTTGAAATCACAGTAAATTTTGGAAAAGAAACTTCTCAACTATTTAGGCTTAAAAAAGTACTGTAAAGATATTAAGACGCCCTTTCCCTCCCCGCAACCAAAATAAAGTGTAACCCAGCGTTAGGTGATCAATACTGGATGCCTTTAAGATTAATACTAAATTGATTAACAACAATTGATAAACTTCCAATAACTTTAGCAAAAGAGAATTTGAAATAAGAGCTTCCAAGAGGTAGAATTTTCATTAGTGGGGGAATTGCAAGATATGAAAGCTTCGAGCAAACTTCGAGGTGAAGGGGGGAAAGTGTTTATACCCCTGTGATCCGATCTTAGACCAGGCTTCTCGATGGATGGCATTGAACAACCAAGTTGTTGGTAGTAGTTACACAGCATACGCATCACAACCCGGCTGATCAGGCACTGATTTTAGGAACACATCGTTCTCTCTTGAACAGACAGGGGTCTGTTGGTAATTCCATTATGTATAGAGGCAGGGTGTTAAAAAATGTCTTGGTACCTTTATACTTCACGAATTACCTCGTTAAGTGTAGAGTAACCAAGAAACCCCCAAATTTTCATTTAGGGTATTTTGCATTCTTCTAAGCCTCGTGCTTTCGGTGGGAGTGATTACTGTACGCACATTTGGGTCCAGTCTCCCTCTAGTATTTTCAAGGTGCAAATTTTGATATTTTTTTGTCTACGTTCCAAGGAACTTCAAGCATTCCCAATAATTGCTTAACTATTTATAAGAACATTTCGCAGATCTGCAATTTTTGTCTCCCTTAAAAATGACTGTACACATACAGCAATATTTCAGTCTATAGAGATCAAGTATCATCACTGGCGTAGCATCTCTTTACTTGAAGGATCTGGTCACCTACCCTATCATTTTCTCTCTGGTTGCAATAATTACATTTGTAATCCTTGAAAATGATATATTCCTACATTATAACTCCGAAGTCCTTCAAGTTAATCTTTCACTTTGAGTGGTTCGAGCTTGTTTTGTCAGTTTCCTTAAATTTTCTAAAATGAAGTAACTGAAAATTGTCCTCGAAACCCATGTTGCCTGGGGTGTGCAACAGGTGTTAATCCAGGTGATTAGCAATCTTGCTTCTTTTAATAATGTGGGACATACAGTATGTGCTATTGATCTTTAGGTATAGGTTTTGCGATTTCTTTACTACCACCTTTATAGAGGAGGAAAGGGAGGGAGGGAGGGGGGGGGAGAGTTATATCCACTGTTTTTCACAGTTAAATGACTCCTGTATCCAGACGCGATCTTCACAGAACAATTAAATCACAGGATAGGGGTTTCTCGCAATTCTTAACAGAGCTCCATAAGTCTAGACAAGGCAGAGTGCATGGGCATGCTATAACCCCTTTGAAGTCGATTTGGTGTTAGGGTTACGTCGGAAATTATGTTGATACCGGCAGAATTTCGAGTTTTATCCATGAAAAATTCATCGAGTTAGATTGTGACTTCGGTATCTCGCTTATTCCTGTCTTGTCATTGTAAGTGCCATCTCGTTCAAGCAAGTGCCCCATATGGGAGGATTATATATATGAGAAGAGATGAAGAGGTCAGCCAGTAGCAGAAAATACCGGTTTGAGAAGCTGGCGAGGCTCAGGTCTTCACTCACTCCAGCCACCCACATCTACATATGAAAATAGTTCCATCTCAACATGCAAATCTACATAAGGGAACTTACTCCGGAATTAAATGATATTTGTGACGAGAGAGGAGCCACAAGGATTGCGGGGGCAAAGAGGATAGGAGAAAGAGGAGCCTCAAGGGTAGTGAGGGAACGAAGACGGAAAAAAGGAGCGGGGGAGGGGGGCGTTAGTAAACAAGGAGGGAACACGAGAGGAAAAAAGTAGGGGGGAAGAGACGGGTAGAAACAATTAGGGAAGAAGTATACTAAACCTGATAGGGGAGAGATTAGAGAAAACTATGTAAACACGAGTAATGAGTTAAGTTAGAAGAGCCTGGGTGAAGGAAGGGACACGACATATTGAGGGTGAGATTCAAGCAGAGGGTTCGGAAAGAAGGACAATGAAGCGGAGAAACGTGGTCACCTGAGGTGAAGGTGGGGAAGGAGCAACTAGGAGTGATGTGGTTCAACAGCAGCAGAAAATACGTAGATGTTAGCATGGATAAATATGTCTCTTGCAGGACCTCCTAAGACAGTTCAAATCCACATTATCTGAAGTCGGGAAAACAAGCGTGATTCTGCATAAACCAACAAAACAAGAAGTGGGGTCAAAGTAGTAATTCCTCTGGATAGTAATGTAAAGTCCCTGACTTCTTGCACAACCTCTGCCTTCCCACTCTACTTACATGAATATATAGTTGGAAGAACAAAGTGTAGATTTTTTTACTGATAACGCTAGATGTAATTCTAGAAAGATTTTAAAAAGCTTACACTCTACCTAAGGTATATTCCGAGGTCAACGACCTAGAAGTCCGGTCCCAGACCAAGATGGTCTGATCAAGCAGGCTGTTGGTGCTAACCACACAAAGTCCAACAACCACCACAGCCTGGTTGATAAGGGATCGATTTGAGAAACACGTCCAGCTCTTTCTCGAAGACGTTCAAGGGTCTATTGGCAATCCCCTATATACAAGAAGTGAGGACGTTAAAAATTCTTGGTTTCTTCTCACTTTCCCTTAGTACCTTTGATATACCTTTGAAGAATTTCGAGTTTCTCTACTCTCTGAGCCCGGCCATTGGCCAGGCTCGTCTGGTGCTTGCCTGACCAACCAATTTGTTGCTACTGGAGGCCCGCCGCTCTACATATTCATCACAGCCTGGCAGATCTGGCACCTGGTGAAGACGCTAGTCCAGTTTCCTCTTGAAGGCTTCTACACTTGTTCCAACTGTGTTTGATATCTTCTGGTAAGATGTTGAATATTGCACCATTGCATTTCATTGGGAGTATTTTGCACTATTTGCCAAAACTCTTACTTTCATTGGTAATATGCATGTGTGTGTGTGGGGGGGGGGTGAGTGTGTGGTTGGTGGTGTGTGTTGGGTGTGTGTGTTGGTTTGTGTGTGTGTGTTTGGTGTGTGTGTGGTTTGTGTGTGTGTGTGTGTGTGGGGTGTGTGTGGGGGGGGGGTTGGTTTTGGTGTGTGTGTGTGTGTGGGGTTTGGTGTGTGTGTGTGTGTGTGTGTGGGGTTTGGTGTGTGTGTGTGTGTGTGTGTGTGTGTGTGTGTGTGTGTGTGTGTTTGTGTGGTTTGGTGTGTGTGTACTCACCTAGTTGAGGTTGCGGGGGTCGAGTCCGAGCTCCTGGCCCCGCCTCTTCACTGATCGCTACTAGGTCACTCCCCCTGAGCCGTGAGCTTTATCATACCTCTGCTTAAAGCTATGTATGGATCCTGCCTCCACTACATCACTTCCCAGACTATTCCACTTCCTGACAAATCTGTGACTGAAGAAATACTTCCTAACATTCCTGTGATTCACCTTCCAACTGTGACCCCTTGTTGCTGTGTCCCATCTCTGGAACATCCTGTCTGTCCACCTTGTCGATTCCTCTCAGTATTTTAGATGTAGTTATCATATCCCCCATATCTTTCCTGTCTTCCAGTGTCGTCAGGTCGATTTCCCTTAACCTCTTCTCGTAGGACATAACCCTTAGCTGCGGGACAAGTCTTGTTACAAACCTTTGCCATTTCTCTAGTTTCCTTACATGCTTGGCAAGGTGTGGGTTCCAAACTGGTGCTACAAACTCCAATATGGGCCTAAGTACACAGTGTACAGGGTCCTGAATGATTCCTTATTAAGATGTCGGAATGCTGTTCTTAGGTTTGCTAGGTGCCCGTATGCTGCAGCAGTTATTTGGTTGATGTGCGCCTCAGATGTTCCCGGTATTATACTCGTCCCCAGATCCTTTTCTCTGAGTGAGGTTTGTAGTCTCTGGCCCCCTAGACCGTGCTCTGTCTGTGGTCTTCTTTGCCCTTCTCCAATATTCATGACTACACTTGGTGGGGTTGAACTCCAGGAACCATTGCTGGACCAGGCCTGCAGCTTGTCCAGATCCCTTTGTAGTTCTGCCTAGTCCTCGTCCGATTGATTTTTTCTCAACTTCATATCATCTGCAAACAGGAACACTTTTTAGTGTATTCCTTCCGTCACGTCCTTCACAAATACCAGAAACAGCACCGGTCCTAGGAGTGACCCCTGTGGCACCCCGCTCGTTACAGCTGCTCACTCTGACACCTCGCCACGTACCTTGACTTGCTGTTGTCTTCCTGATAGATATTCCCTGATCCACTGTAGCACCTTTCTTGTTATCCTGGCCTGGTCCTCCAGCTTTTGCACTAATCTCTTGTGTGGAACTGTGTCAAACGCCTTTTTACAGTCCAAGAAAACGCAATCTACCCACCCCTCTCTTTTGTCTTACTGCTGTTACCCTGTCATAGACCTGCAGTAGGTGACGCAAGATTTCTCGTCCCTGAAACTGTGCTCCACTACTCTTCTCCATGACCTTGCATACTATATATGTTAGTGACACTAGTCTGTATAGCTTAATGCTTTGTCTGTCTCCCCTTTTTCAAAAACTGCGACTACATTTGCTGTCTTCCATACCTCAGGCAGTCGCCTCTGTTTCGATAGACGTGAAGTTTGTTAGTGGTAAACATAGCGCCTCTGCTCCCTCTCTCAGGACCCATGGAGAGGGGTTATCCGGCCCCATCTCTTTTGAGGTATCTAGCTCGTTTAACAGCCTCTTCACTTCTTCCTCGATTTTATGTACTGTATCCAACACTTGGTGTACCCCACCTCTCCGTCTTTCTGGAGTCCCTTCTGTCTCTGTGAACATTTCTTTGAGTCTCATGTTGAGCACCTCGCATGCTATGCGGAGATTTCTTGTGACCTCTCCTCCTCCCTTCCTCAGCCTGATTACCTGGTCGATGACTGGTGTTTTCCTCCTGATGTGGCTGTACAACAGCTTTGGGTCAGATTTGGCTTTTGCAGCAATGTCATTCTCATACTGTCTTTCGGTCTCCCTTCTTACCTGTGCATATTCATTTCTGGCTCTACGACTGCTTTCCTTATTCTCCTGGGTCTTTGCCTCTATACTTCTTCCATTTTCTAGCACACTTGGTTCTGGCCTCCTTGCACCTTTGGGTAAACCAAGGGCTACAAAACGTTTGCCATGTTGTTTGAGCTACTTTACAAATAAATCTATCTTCCCCTTGGGTGAATGCGGCACACTTGTAGCTTAATGTATTGCTGCCTTTCACACATTTTTTTTTTATCACTACTCCTCCTTTACACTTACACGCTTCATTCCCTTACCCTATGGCAACACCTTCGTTTCCCCCTCTTCCCCTCCACACTGTACTACTGGCCACTGTAAGAGTAACTGCTGTATCGGTATATCATAACTCACGACTCAGATAAAATTTGAAACCTTATCACTGTGACATTTTCTGATTTAACTTCATTATTTTTTCCTTCCGATTTGGTAGAATCGGAATCATATGCCCCTTTACCAGTTGCTCCTTTGGCATACACTTTGTACGCCGCTAAACCATGATTATAAATATACATGTTATGTCTTCCAGAACATTCAGAACACTCGTAATCGTTCAACAATTGCGAGGGGGCAGGAGCAACTGGCATTAAACACATGTTGCCTTGGTATCACAACACTTGCCCAACCCATGTGTTAAGCAATCTTGCGTCTTAAACTCTCCACGATTTTGATAATACTAGACGTTAGTAATAGTGGTCTAGTTTTTTCAATTTCTTTGCTGCCACCTTTGTACTTTAAGACTGAGTGATAACCCGTTTTCAGACCTCGTCTCCATAGGATATTTAAGGCGTAAGTGGAACAAAATGGAAGATGTACAAAAGTAGGAGTAAATAGAATACGAATCAATGATTACTGAAACAAATAATAATTAGGTAGGGTCAGGTGTTATGAATAGATCCCTTTTAGTTAGCCAAGTAGGTTTATACACAACTATCAACGTACCTTCTTCTAGGCTGATTGTCGTAATCGTTGAAGCCTCCGTAGCCATCATTCTGTAAAGAAAGAAACCTTGTCAATTGGGTGGGACGACCATCATATTTAGTTGATGATTCATCCTCCAAAAGTTATCATAATCTTCCCTTTAAGTTAAAAAAGAGAGGCAGAGATACATTTAATTGTTAAAGCTGACATGCTTTTGGACTAATTATTTACCGTGCGCACATACCTTATCTGCAGGTTTAAGTCCTCCCGATCGTTATATTACAACAATATGGAGATTACCAACAAGAGGTGTACCATGCTGGAAGTCTAATGTGACTTAACAAAGGCGAGTGAATTATTTTCATATCGTGCGAAACCTATAGAAGGTTACACAGCACCTGGACGAGTTGAATCTAGATAACGTAAGTTTAATCCAGATAATACAATACAATGAAAAGCAAGAGTCATAGGCACAATTAGAAAACAGTCAACATAAGTAATATAAGACCATTCAAGCTGTTACCTGCCGATATGAACAAAAAAGTGCAAAAAACCCGTATGTAATACCAACAAGTTGTGGTTAAGATACACGAGCAAACACTTGGGACATTTTATTATAGAAACGTTTCAATCCTGAGACCTTGTTCACAAGGTCACCAGGACTGAAAAAGTTTCCATCATGCTCTAGGTGCTTCCTCATGTACCTAACCATAGGCAATAATGTTGAAATAAAACAATATACACACATTATATGCACGCTCGCACGCGTGCGCGCGCGCGCACACACACACACACACACACAATAATCGCTGAAAAAATAGTAAAAATACAATTGGGAAATCACGAAACCTCTTAGAATTTCATTATTTTTTTCACATTGGTTATTCTATATATTGTGATATCGCCTGTTTACTATGATCTTATTAACATATAGAGAGACGCAGGGGGAAGGGGTCGTTTTGTCGCCAGTCTGGGTGTATCATCTGCCTCTACAATTTCAAACCAAAACAGGGATGGAGATGGGGAGAAGATAGTCAAAACGTAAGGTCGAAAGAACCAGCTAAGCCCCAGATAATTAGCAAAGCCTTAAATCTTCAACTTTCAGCACTTGATTTTTTTTTATTATTCAGTCGTGGCAACATAATGGAAGCTCATACTAAATGATTTTAGATGTCTGTGGGGAACATTCTGGATACTTTTGCACAAAGGACTTTGAATTTCTAAGAGATAATTCCAGCATGAAATCTGACCTGCAACATTCAGTATGAACAACCAGAATACTCAGGTTGGCTCTTTTTAATTACCCTTACCCATCACTATTTCCTGCTTAGCATTTAGTGTCAAAGTAGAGAAACTGCACAGGCACAAGAAGCTTCAATAACAATCTGTTTTCCTCAGTTGCAACTCTTAAAATGTATGCTGGAATTTCGGGATACGCCCCCTGTTGCCAGATATTAGTCACCTATCTTTTGTAATTTCATTATTATTCGATAACTATGGAAATGTAGGTTAATATAAGTTACCCTAATGTATCCTAAGCCAAGAGGGAGTAACTTATATTAACACATAATTCAAATTTAAGCATGCAGTAATGTATTAAGGTCAATTCGAATGAAGCTGAAGGTCGTGAATAATAATAAAATTCAAACAATAATGAGAGCGACGAGCAAACATGTAAACAAGAAGATTATGGGAAGTGAAACCGCCAGTGAGTAGGATGGGAGACAGCAACACGAGTATCCTAAGATGTGTGGCTGGCACAATAATAATATTAGACACCCACCCAACCGTCGCCAGAGAAACCTTAATAAAACTTTTCTCGCAACTCCCTGACTGTGGAAGCTCCACCTTCCCAGTAATGAAACTTTCCAAGGCCGCCTCTCTTACTAATTTACCGTTACTATCCCCCCCACCCTGCTTAACGTGTAGACAATAATTAAATTTGACGTGCCACAGGAAGTACGCCTCTGGGCGCTTCAAGAAAAACTCGAACTTACTGAGGAAACATTATGACGCTGGTTCCTTCCCCACCGCCAGTCGTAAACTTAGTTCCTTCTCCCACTTGCCCAACTCACCCTCTGCTATTATAGCACCCATTCTGAGACCAGGCACATCTCTACCCAGATACCAATGTTCATAGCTGAAGTGAGATCAGTTTCTGCCTTCCTTCGTTTGATATACTTCTGATGAGTTTGAATTTTTCTACTCCTGACTCTGGGCCAAGCTTGTCTGGTGCTTGCCTGGTCAACCAGGCTGTTGCTGCTGATGGCCTGCTAGCCCACATATCCATCGCAGCTTGGTTGATACTTATCTGGTTTCCTCTGGAAAACCTCTACACTTGTCCCAACAGTACTCCGGTATCTTCTGGAAAAGACCCCGGATGTTGATACAATGTTCTCTTATCGTGCCCACAGATACTTTTCACTGTGTTTATTTTACACTTCCATCTCTCTCACTCCAGTGTGTTATGGCAATATGCAGATCTGGGAATATAGCCCAACCCCTCTGATATACCTTTTGTACCACTGATGAGTTCCAAGAGATTTTCTACCCCCAGAGCCCGGGTACTATCTATGATTGTGAACGTATCTCTCTCCTTCAGCGAGTGACTATATAGGACTGAGGCCTTCCCAGTAATTTAAATGCTTTCTTGGTTCTATGAGGGCCGCAAATGATCTCTGCAGCTGTTCCAGCTTCTACCCTGCCCTGAACGGGACGTCAACATTGAATACTCTGAAGAGAAAGCACAAACGATCAGAATAGTGTTGCCATTGGCACTATTTCCCGTTATATTCCTGGCTGTCGTGATACACCCATAACCTGCACTTAGGAGAGTGGAATTTATGACAACGTTTTGTTCCGACTTGGACTAAGGTCCAAGTAGGACCGAAACACTGCCATTATGTTTGTCTCCTAAGTGCAGGTTGTGTATTGTTCCAGCCACGATGTTGTGACTTTTTATTATTATGATATGCGTCTTGTGTTCTTTGAAAACAAAGGTCAGCTCTTTTCCATACTCCTTTCATGCTTTTTCATCCTCCGGATTTTTTTATATTATACACACTAATGCAGATGGAATAAGAGTGAGCAGTGGCATGAACGAATCATGGAGGCATCCCCAGACAGCACTCAGAGAGCGCTTACGGAGATAACAGACACGATCTTCCAGACGAACTATAAGATTTTCAGGAAAGACTGAGGGAATAGTAGCACTTTATCAGAAACCACTGGAGCATTGAGATGGGAGGAATGGACAGAGAAGAAGCACCAGGGGTCCCAAGGTGGTGATAGTAGGGATGTACGAAGGCAAAGTCGAGAATATGATGAAAGCAATAGTGGATACGCTAGCTGAGGTGGCCAGAATGGCCCACATGAGCAGCGCAAAGCTGCTAGTCATAGAGGACTAACCACAAGATTGACTAGAACCTAGATCCACATGGGGGACCAGAAACGTGGAGGGCTAAGATGATGGTGACAATGATGAGCTTCTTGCACCAACATGTTAAGAGATACAACGAAAGAGGAGGATGAACCAGCAATTTGGACCTAGTATTCACCCAATGTGGTTCAACATAGGGGATATTACATATGAAAGGCCCCTTGGTGTCAGCTATCACACGGTCCTGAGTTTCGAATACCTTGTGGAATTAACTGTAAAGAGTGAAGTAACAGGAAGTGGTGAAGCGAAACTTCAGAACAGGGGATTACACAGGCATGAGGCAATCCTGTATCAGGTAAAGTGGAAAAGAGAACTAGTGGTAAAAACAGCAATTAGACAGAGTATGTGGCCAGAAAGTGCAGGAGGCAGAAGTTTATACTCAAGAGCAACATATACAATAGAAAGACCAGAGCCCATGGTTTACCCAGAGGTGAAGTGAGGCCAAAGTCAAATGTGCTAGAGCACAGGAAAAATGCAGAATGTAAAGAACTCGGGAAAACAAGGAGCTAAGCCAAAGAGCCATAAACGAGTATGCGTGGATAAGAAGGTTGGCTCAATGACAATTTGAGAATGAAAAAGGACTGAAAGCCAAATACTACCCAAAGTTGTTACACATCCACATCCGGAGGAAAACAACAAAAAGTGACCAGGAAGTCTGTGAAGACCTCATCACATGATTAAGGGAGGTATTCTTAGAAAACCGAAACAGAACACACTAGCAAGCATTATACACAATACACGGAACTAGGAAGATGTGAGGAAGATACCGCAAAGGCAGTGGGACCACGCATCTTTCCGTTGGTCCTGAGAAAAGGAGTCGAGGTAGTGTGTGCTGCTAGTAATAATCAAGTCTATCGACACAGGGTAACTGCCAGAGGTGTGAACAACAGCAAATGAAGTCCCAATTCTTAAGGAAAGAAGACATTCAGGCAGCGTTAAAGTACAGACCAGGGTTACTGATATGTACAGTATTCAATTAAGAAATCAATATATTCAATTAAAGAGAAATAAAAAAAGGAATAAGAAAAGCAAAAAGGGATTATGAGGCTAAGGTCGCAAGGGACTCGAAGACTAACCCAAAAGGTTTCTTTCAGGTATACAGAAGTAAGATTAGGGACAAGATAGGCCCACTTAAGAGTAACTTAGGTCAGATCACTGACAGTGATAAGGATATGTGTGAAATTTTCAATACCTACTTCTTCACAGTTTTTACCCAGGAAAATACTAGCGAAATTCCTGAAATAATGGATTATGTAGAACAGGACGATAATAAACTATGTACGATTGCAGCAACTAGTGACATAGTCCTCAGACAAATAGAGAAATTAAAACCTAACAAATCCCCAGGCCCTGATGAACTGTTTGCAAGGGTGTTAAATGCATGGTGCCTGATAAGTGGAAAATGGCAAATGTAATACCTATTTACAAGACAGGAGACAGGTCCTTAGCTTCGAACTATAGACCAATAAGCCTTACCTGCATAGTGGAAAAATTTATGGAATCAATAATTGCCGAAGCAATTCGTAGCCATCTTGACAGGCATAAATTTATTAATGAATCTCAACACGGTTTTACAAGGGGGCGTTCCTGTCTTACGAATTTACTAACTTTTTTCGCTATGGTGTTTGAGGA